GCAGCATGGACGGCAGCAGCGTGAACGGCATGAACACCATGTACAGGGGCATGGACAGCATGAACGGCATGTACTGGGGCAGCATGTACGGCTACGCTAGGGGCAGGAGCAGACAAGGTAGCGGCATGTACAGCAACACTGGGAGCTGGGGCTGACAATGTGGCAGCATGCACAGCCACCGATGGATGAGGTCCGGCGGCAACTACAGTATGTCCCCAAGGACCAACCAAGGATGGTGCCACAGCAGTGTACGACAGATGATGACCGGCCCACAGAGGAACCACCGATGATTGGACACCCAAAGCCAAGGCCAATGTGAACAAAGCAGCTACGGCGAACTGTAATTTAAATGAAGTCATGTTATTGATTTAGAAACAATTTATTTCTCGTTGACCAGACTTACTTTCATTTTGTGATTTGTTTTTTTTTTAATTAGACAGAAAACTAATCGGTGTTTCTAGCTGGAACGCAGATTCTATTCTGATTCTGTTCAATGAAATTTCCATATTTTTATATTGAAATGGGGGCACTCCACCCCAACACTTACATGACAACAATCAAACAAACAATCAAACCACTTGAAGTTTGCAAGTCTTATGCTAGCAATTGTAGTTGCTGTTGTTGTGGTTGTTTTATGTTTACCTTTTGTGTGTCTAATGATTCCGGAACTGTTTACAACTGCATATGGCTTGCATTAAATGAAAGTCCATGTTGTTTTTGCAATTACGGCTGTTTGCACATAAGCGTGTTTTGATCGCCGAGACAAAAGTTCAAAGGTGTAGAAAAGATAAGTTGAACTGACCATAGCCCTGTAAATTTTAGTGTCAATAATAATATTCTTTGGCTAACAAATATTTTATTACTTTTTTATTCAAAATACGAAGATGTTTCTGGATTCCATGCAGTTTTATTTCGGCACCACCTACAATAAATTCCCATTCACAGTGATTAAATAAATTATACCAGCAACTTAATTAGAAGACACCATGTCATAGTTTTTAGGCTAATATTAAAAAGGCCCTAAAAGCCTGTTTTTCATAAAGGAAAAATGGTTTCAGAACATTGGAGTCGATATAAGGATGTCCGTCTGTCTGGCGGGTTCACTTGAAAACTCTCGAAAGGATTATCCGAGTTGTTTCAAAATTGGTTCATCGTAATATTATTGTCAAACTTGAAACAAGTTCGGAGATGGGCAATATCGGTCCACTCCTTTTGGTTTCTCCCCACAAAAGGTAAAATTTTTACAGCACATAATTTACTTTTCAGAACAGTGCAAGATCTTTCAATTTTGTGCAAACTTTGCAAGTATGGATATTTTTATCAGTTCAACGTCAGGTGAGAAAATAGCCAATATCGGCCAATCCCATCAAGTACCTCCCCCATAAAGATTCAAAATTTTGAATAATTGTAACTCTTATAGAGAGTGAAATAAGAGACCAATTGTCTTCATAATTTCGCACACCTCATAATAAAGAACGGACTTTCTGGTACCACCCCCACAACGGGTCAAAATTTTGAATAACCATACAGCTTATAAAACGGAAAATGAGCATCCTATTCCTGTAAAACTCGGCACATTCCAATATTTCTATCACAAAATATATGGAATGAAGATGGACTTTATCGGTCCACTCCTTCAAACTTTTCTGTAAAAACTTTTCTGTAAAAGTTTAACGAACATTTCCTTAAACCGCGAATATTTTTAATTCCTGCTTAATCACAAATATACGAAAAGGGCACTTCTGATCGTTAAATTGAATGGTAATGTATAGGGGAGTTTATTTGCATTACTTTTTATACCCTCCACCACTGTATAGAGCGTATATTAGTTTTGTCATTCCGTTTGTAAAACCTCGAAATATACATTTTAGAACCCACAAAGTATATATATTCTTGATCAGCATAAAATTCTATGTCGATTTATGTCCGACCGTCTGTGGAAATCACTCTAGCTTCCGAACGAAACGAAGTAGGTTGATAACATTTTACTCAAATGTGTATCATGTTTGCAGGACGTTTGGTATTGAAAATGGGCCATACAGGTCCACTTTTTCGTATAGCCCCCATATAACTGTAGCCCCCGATATTCGGTATTCTGATGATTTTAGCGACATTATTTACCGGAATTGTTTCACATTTGGTATTTGAAGTTCGTCATAGATACTACAGCATAAAACAGAAAATGGGCCACGTAGGTCCACTTCTTTGTATAGCCCCCATATAACTGTAGCCCCCGATATTCGGTATTCTGATGATTTTATCGACATTATTTACCGGAATTGTTTCACATTTGGTATTTGAAGTTCGTCATAGATACTACAGCATAAAACAGAAAATGGGCCATGTAGGTCCACTTCTTCGTATAGCGCCCACATAACAGTACCTCCCGATATTCGGTATTCTGATGATTTTAGCGACATTATTTATTGGAATTGTTTCAAATTTTGGTTTGCAGTTCGTAATGGATACTACAGCCTATGACAAAAAATTGTGTGTGCAGGTCCACGTTTTACAACTCCCATGGTTCCTCCCTATGTTCGGTATTTTGATGATTTTAGCTACATTATAAACAGATTTTTTTTAAGTTTCGCATTTGAATATTGTAATAGCTTAAGGCCCGGTCGAACTTACAGCTTTTTACTTGTTAATATTTCCTTTTGCAAAAAGTCGAAATATTCGTCGAGGTCCATAGATGTTCTTACCAGTGGAAGTGCCCTTTTTAAGAATGTCCCCTGACTTTTGGTATTTTGAAGGTTTTTTGGTTTTAATTCCCAACCAAATATGCTATAATTTTAGCTTTCGGGTTCTTCGTTGGCTTTAACTCCTCACAAAAAAATCATTGAGGGTCCCCTCTATGGTAAATAAATTAATGTACCTCCTGGTTCTCATTAGTTTGAAGGTAAGGCCCCAACGTACAACCAAATTGGATGAAATTGGATATTTCCGGTTCTTTGTGTGCTGATTACCTCCTATAGAAAATTTAAGAGATTTTTAGGGTACCCGAATTGTCAAAAATCATATTTTCGTATAGAATTTTATCCCAGCTGAACTTAAAATTGTTTTTCTTCGTTTCTTGTAGAACGTGAAACTTGGAAAATAAAATAGTTTGACTTATGTCTGGAATGACTGGAATGACTGACTTAAAATGGACTATATCAGTCCACTCTGGTCCGGTCGATTTGAAATGCTTTGAAGGACCTACCCTCATTCTGCAACGACTGTAGTTGTACATTTTCAATGTTATCGTGGTCTTGGAATATCTCCATGTAATGTTATACTCTGGATGTTGACGTTTAAAAGGTCTTGTCCAATTTTTAATGCAGAATGTATTTTTGAATAGAACACAATATTTCAAAAATATTCAATGTCCTTAAAGATATTCTCCTATGGTGGAACTGTTTAGCTGTTTAACATCATTATACCCTCAGCCATATGGCTACGGCCAAATCATGCCTAGTCAAAATAATGGTTTTACACCATAGGTCTCTTTGGACCAAATCCGTTTCAGAACATTTGGAGTCGATCTAGCGATGTCCGTCCGTTCGTCTGTCTGTCTGGCTGGGAGTATCCGATTTGGTCCAAACTTGGTACATCCTAATATTTTTGTCAAACTTAGATCGAGTTCTGAGATGGGCAATATCGGTCCACTCGTTCTGGTACCTCCCCCTTCTTTGCACAGAAATCGAAATGATAATCCGATTTTGCTCCAACTTTGCAAATCCTAATATCTGTGTCTGTTCTAGGTCAGGTGTGAAATGGACAATATCGGTCCACTCTATCAAGTACCTCCCCCACAAATGGTCAAAATTTTGAATAATTACAACTCTCATAAAATGTGATGTAAGAGTCCGATTGTCTTCAAATTTCACACATCCCAATTTTTTTATTATTAACCCAAAGTCTGGTATTAAGATGGAATATATTTGTCCAATTCTTCTTGTACCTCACCCACAAATGGTCGAAATTTTCAAAAATATATATTTTTTTGCACAGAAAAAGAAACGATAATCCGATTTTGCTCCATCTTTGCATATCCTAATATTTGCATCAGTGCTAGGTCAAGTGCCAAAATGGGCAGTATCGGTCCACTCCATCTGGTACCTCCCCCACAAAAGGTCAAAATTTTAAATAAATAGAATTCTCATAAAATGTGATGAAAGAGTCCGGTTGCCTTGAAATTTCACACATCCCAATATTTATATTAACCCAATAATCCGATTTTGCTCCAACTTTACAAATCCTAATATTTGCGTCAGTCCGTAAAAAGTCCGGACATCTCAATATTTCCATCAGCACAAGTTCTTTTAAAAATTTGAAGAGATCTGTCCATGTCTTCTGGTACCTCCCCCACAGAGGGACAAAGTTTTGAGTAAATAAAACGATTATAAAATCCGAAAAAAAAAACATACGGTTCTCTTCATATTTCCTACATCCCATTAATTCTACTACTAAGATTTGCTGTGAAGATGAAATATATCGGTCCACTCCTACTGGTACCTCTCCTACGAATAGTCAAAATTTTGAATATTCATGAAGCTCATAAAAAGCGAAATTGGCATTCTATTCCAGTCAAGACTTGGTAAATAAATATCCATAAACACTACACAGTCCAAACCTGGCACGTCACAATATTTATATTATATTTATTTAAATCCGATACGAAATGGCCAATATTAGCCCATTCCTTTGGAAACAACTGCATAAGGTTTTAAATATTTGAATAATCATAGCAAAAGTCAAAATATTTTTAAATAATCGAACATTGGCTGAGGGTATACATCTGTCGGCAAAACCGACCGATACTTTTTAACTTGTTTTTAGTAGCCTTGGTGTGATAAAAGAATATTTAACACATTTTCCTGCATCCTTGCCTAAATCTAAAACCTTAGCTTATTTGGACGCAGTATCGTTTGTCGTTCCGTATTTTCTAAATAAAATAATTGGGTGGGATATTATTTCTTTTCGAAATGTTAAATATCTAAGTTTAAAAAATAACACAATAATATTTAATTTTTTACTTTTCACAGTAATTGCTTTATTTATGGCGGAGCTTAAGAGGGGAAAGGAAAATCAAAACTCCAAAAAATTGTGAAACAGAAGAAGTGTATAAATTAAAACGATATGGAACTAAAATAAAACATGAACTAGATGGCAATGTGTGCTAATCAAAAATGTGTGTATGTATGTACATTTGTGGATGGTAGGAGGTACCCTGCAGTAGAATTATGTCAGAGACGAATGTCATGACTATTACGATCAACCATAAATCAAATCCAATCCAAGCAGTCGTTTAAACAGTACCGGGAGCTGGAGCCAAGTTAACATTGGCAACGGAGCTGGCATGGCCGGCCAAGGGGGCGGTGTGGACAGCACCACGTGTCTGTGCAACATAAGAACCTTGAACGGCGGGCACTACAACGGGAGCATGGACGGGAGCAGCGTGGACGGCAACAGCTGGAGCGGCGGCATGAACGGCCACGGCAGCATGTGGATATAGAGGCCAGGGGGCGGCAACAACTGGGGATGAGACTGCAGTGTAGGACAAGCCGCCACCAGCAACTTGTGTGACCACACCAGGAACCAATGATGATTGAACGCCCAAAGCCAAGGCTAAGGTGAACAAGATGGCAGCAGCGAACTGGTTGCGATGTGAAATGGAATTTAAAACAATGCCTTTCCTTTTCAAGGATAATCCAATACTTACTTTCATTTTGATTGAGTTTTTGATTTTTTCCAACTGGAGATCGCAGAAAACTAAACTGTGTGTTGCTGTTTGGCACGCAGATTCTATTCTGTTTCAATGCCAAGCAAAATCCCTTAATTTATATTGCAATTCAAATTCGCTCCACCCAATGTCCAGCAACATGAACTCATTACAAATTCTTTGAACTATTTTCGAGAATGGAGACAATAACAATAACAACAGCAACAGAAATCTGTAAATAGAACATTTTACGATTAAAAAAAAACGCTTTGAAGACTCTAATGAAAGTGCAAGTCAACCACCAACAACATTATTATGTATGTATTTTGTGGTTGTTGTTGTTGTTGTCAACTGTCAATGCAGCCTTGAAGTTGATTCTGGCCAACAACATTACTCCATAAACCTGTCACAGATCTTAACCGGTATTAGGTTGGTCCACAACAACAAAAAGCGGCGCACAACAATACTCCCCACATGGCAATGGCCAAAGGCATTTGTTGGCCACTAAGCTACTTAGCAGAGAATTGAATGATACGCTTTTTGTCAACGCTCCATGTAATTGATATTTGACAAAAAATAAAAAAATAAAATAAAAACAAATAGCAGTAGAGTGGATTTAAGAAGCTTATAAACTAAACAATAGAGTGTGGTATGTAGCTATCAATTATCTACCAATCTTTTGGATCGATTTGTCAAGGTTCCTATGTACTGAGAGGATTTCCTTGAGCTAATCGCAATGGAATGTCTGTCGCTTATTTAGAAATAGAATTAAAATTAGAAATACAATAAAATGTGAATATTTTGGGAGAAAGCACGCACAAGACACCCAAATAGTGAGAACTGATTGCTATTGAAAATGGCCTATATTTATCTAGGTTTAGGCAAAAATTGCTGATTTAGGTTAACTGTTTGGTAAACACCCATACAATGGTACTTCCCGATTTTCGGTGTTTTGAAGATTTCTGCCACAATTTCCAACCGAAATAGATTAATAAACATGGCTTGGTATTTTAAGGTATCTCACCGAGCTGAGTCGATATAGCTATCTATGTCCGTCTGTCCATGTTAATTTGTAATCACTCTACAGGTCGCAATTATGACCCGATCCTCACGAAATTGAAAATGGAGTTGGGGTTATGGTCAAAATAGAACCCTATTGATTTTGGAGATGATCGTAAAGTATTTAGGGGTTGAAATGGACCAATGAAAAATTTCCGCATTTTGCGGTTGCTCTACAGGCCGCAATTATAAACCAATCAACGCGAAATTTTGGATGGAATTAGAGTTTAGGGCTGGACAGAAGCCTACTAATTTGGACGGTCATCGGACAATATTTAACGGATAAAACAACTCATAACTTTTATATCAAATATTCGAAAATTTCCACAAAACCGCTAATATTTGTAATCCTGGGCACAGTACAAATTTATTAGAAGGTCACTACTGACCATTACAGTGATGCTGATAGCCCACATATCGGATATGTACCGAAATAGGAACAATCTATATATAAATGAAATTGATGTTAGTTATTCCGCTTATAAGTCAAGAACCGCTGGACGGATTTTGACAATTTTCACTAATTTGCAATGGGCTCTTGCCAGAAAAGGGTAAAATCTAAGAAAATCGCGTAAAAATCTGCCAACAAAAAAGTTAAAATTGTTTGTTACATTTTTTCAATTATTGTCATATTTTTTTTATCGCATGCGATATTTTCACTTTGGCTTACAATTTTGAATTGTACGTTTTCAATTTTTTTTCTACACCCTGCAACACTATGTTTTGAGGGTATTATATACAGGTCACAATTGTCTGATCCTAACAAAATTTGGCATAGGGTTGGTTAGGTTCAGAATTAAAGCCTATTGTCTTTGAAGATGTACATTTGGACAACAAATTAAAATTTTCCTGATTTTGCAGACGCTATATAGCTCCTTAAATATTGAGTTTTCAGCGTTTTTAGCTATTATTTATGATCACTTTTTTAAGCACGAATTTATGAAAACTTTAAAATGGCCATAACTCCTTAAATATTGAGTTTTCAGCGTTTTTAGCTATTATTTGTGATCACTTTTTTAAGCACGCATTAATGAAAATTTTAAAATGGCCATAACTCCTTAAATATTGAGTTTTAGTTATTATTTGTGATCCCTTTTTTAAGCACGAATTAATGAAAACTTTAAAATGGCCATAACTCCTTAAATATTGAGTTTTCAGCGTTTTTGACTATTATTTGTGATCACTTTTTTAAGAGTGAATTAATGAAAACTTTAAAATGGCCATAACTCCCTACATATTGGGTTTTCAGAGTTTTTAGCATTTATTCGTGATCACTTTTTTAAGAGTGAATTAATTAAAACTTTAAAATGGCAATAACTCCTTAAATATTGAGTTTTCAGCGTTTTTAGCTATTATTTGTGATCACTTTTGTAAGCACGAATTAATTAAAACTTTAAAATGGACATAACTCCTTAAATATTGAGTTTTCAACGGTTTTAGTTATTATTTGTGATCACTTTTTTTAAGCACGACTTAATGAAAACTTTAAAATGGCCATAACTCCTTAAATATTGAGTTTTCAGCGTTTTTAGCTATTATTTGTGATCACTTGTTTAAGCATAACTCCTTAAATATTGAGTTTCAAGCGTTTTTAGCTATTATTTGTGATCACTTTTTTAAGAGTGAATTAATTAAAACTTTAAAATGGCCATAACTCCTTAAATATTGAGTTTTCAGCGTTTTTAGCTATTATTTTACTTTTTAAAGCACGAATTAATGAAAACTTTAAAATGGCCATAACTCCTTAAATGTTGAGTTTTCAGCATTTTTAGCTATTATTTGTGATCACTTTTTTAAGAGTGAATTAATTACAACTTTAAAATGGCCATAACTCCTTAAATATTAAGTTTTTAGCGTTTTTAGCTATTATTTGTGATCACTTTTTTAAGCACGAATTAATGAAAACTTTAAAATGGCCATAACTTCTTAAATATTGAGTTTTCAGCGTTTTTAGCTATTATTTGTGATCACTTTTTAAAGCACGAATTAATGAAAACTTTAAAATGGCCATAACTCCTTAAATATTGAGTTTTCAGCGTTTTTAGCTATTATTTGTGATCACTTTTTTAAGAGTGAATTAATGAAAACTTTAAAATGGCCATAACTCCTTAAATATTGAGTTTTCAGCGTTTTTAGCTATTATTTGTGAACACTTTTTGAAGAGTGAATTAATTACAACTTTAAAATAGCCATAACTCCTTAAATATTAAGTTTTCAGCGTTTTTAGCTATTATTTGTGATCACTTTTTAAAGCACGAATTAATGAAAACTTTAAAATGGCCATAACTCCTTAAATATTGAGTTTTCAGCGTTTTTAGCTATTATTTGTGATCACTTTTTTAAGAGTGAATTAATTAAAACTTTAAAATGACCATAACTCCTTAAATATTGAGTTTTCAGCGTTTTTAGCTACTATTTGTGATCACTTTTTTAAGAGTGAATTAATTAAAACTTTAAAATGGGCATAACTCCTTAAATGTTGAGTTTTCAGCGTTTTTAGCTATTATTTGTGATCACTTTTTTAAGAGTGAATTAATTACAACTTTAAAATGGCCATAACTCCTTAAATATTAAGTTTTCAGCGTTTTTAGCTATTATTTGTGATCACTTTTTTAAGCACGAATTAATGAAAACTTTAAAATGGCCATAACTCCTTAAATATTGAGTTTTCAGCATTTTTAGCTATTATTTGTGATCACTTTTTTAAGCACGAATTAATGAAAACTTTAAAATGGCCATAACTCCTTAAATATTGAGTTTTCAGCGTTTTTAGCTATTATTTGTGATCACTTTTTTAAGCACGAATTAATGAAAACTTTAAAATGGCCATAACTCCTTAAATATTGAGTTTTCAGCGTTTTTAGCTATTATTTGTGATCACTTTTTTAAGCACGAATTAATGAAAACTTTAAAATGGCCATAACTCCTTAAATATTGAGTTTTCGGAGTTTTTAGCTATTATTTGTGATCACTTTTTTAAGAGTGAATTAATTAAAACTTTAAAATGGCCATAACTCCTTAAATATTGAGTTTTCGGAGTTTTTAGCTATTATTTGTGATCACTTTTTTAAGAGTGAATTAATTAAAACTTTAAAATGGCCATAACTCCTTAAATATTGAGTTTTCGGAGTTTTTAGCTATTATTTGTGATCACTTTTTTAAGAGTGAATTAATTAAAACTTTAAAATGGCCATAACTCCTTAAATATTGAGTTTTCGGAGTTTTTAGCTATTATTTGTGATCACTTTTTTAAGAGTGAATTAATTAAAACTTTAAAATGGCCATAACTCCTTAAATATTGAGTTTTCGGAGTTTTTAGCTATTATTTGTGATCACTTTTTTAAGAGTGAATTAATGAAAACTTTAAAATGGCCATAACTCCTTAAATATTGAGTTTTCAGCGTTTTTAGCTATTATTTGTGATCACTTTTTTAAGAGTGAATTAATTAAAACTTTAAAATGGCCATAACTCCTTAAATATTGAGTTTTCGGAGTTTTTAGCTATTATTTGTGATCACTTTTTTAAGAGTAAATTAATTAAAACTTTAAAATGGCCATAACTCCTTAAATATTGAGTTTTCGGAGTTTTTAGCTATTATTTGTGATCACTTTTTAAAGCACGAATTAATGAAAACTTTAAAATGGCCATAACTTCTTATAACAGCGTTTTTAGCTATTATTTGTGATCAATTCTTTTAAGAGTGAATTAATGAAAACTTTAAAATGGCCATAACTCCTTAAATATTGAGTTTTCAGCGTTTTTAGCTATTATTTGTGATCACTTTTTTAAGAGTGAATTAATTAAAACTTTAAAATGACCATAACTCCTTAAATATTGAGTTTTCAGCGTTTTTAGCTATTATTTGTGATCACTTTTTTAAGCACGAATTAATTAAAAGTTTAAAATGGCAATAACTCCTTAAATATTTAGTTTTCAGAGTTTTTAGCTATTATTTGTGATCACTTTTTTAAGAGTGAATTAATTAAAACTTTAAAATGGCCATAACTCCTTAAATATTGAGTTTTCAGAGTTTTTAGCTATTATTTGTGATCACTTTTTAAAGAACGAATTAATGAAAACTTTAAAACGGCCATAACTC